TATCTATCTATCTATCTATCTATCTATCTATCTATCTATCTATCTATATGCTAAGTCTTAGCATTGATGGTGTATTGATTGGGCATTTATCCATTCCTGGATGCATCCAAACAATACAAGACCGTTTGATCTAAAACTATTATCTATTTTTATCAGAAGAACAGACAAAGGGTTTGGTTTCCTTAGGGGCCTTTCTAAAAGAGTGAAATTGTCCAGAAGTACCACAGCAGCAGCCAATAAAGGAACCATTCTAGTGCTCTACACACTCGCATGAAAATACATAAACATTCATCTGATCAGCTGTTAGTTAAAAAAAGATCAAGTAAAAAAAATCTTGAACAGTAAAATTGGTTAGTGTGTTGTATGAATTATACTAATATCTAATCCTCATTCTCAAACTGCAAGGAAAAGATTACCTAAAAATGGAGGTTTTTGCTGTACACATCAGATAGACACCAACATGTGGTCATATGCCTTTTAAAATTGGTCGCTGATGGGATAGTAAGACATACCAAAGAACATTATGATTTTAGAAAAATCATTAATTTTTTCTCGTAACTGGAAATGGAACAACACGACCCACAGAAGATCTGTCATAATGCAATTTCCTGCAGACGTTTGATGTTCCTGCATGCAGCAAAGCCAGCCTGATGACACTCTAACACGATCTCTTGTTCAGGGAAGGTCAGGCTTTAACGAGGGAGGTGCTGACATTTATCACAGGTTGCTTCACACGTTTCCATGGCGACTTTCATAACAGGCTCTTGAAAGCAGGTCTCTCTCAGAGGGTATTCATTATGGATCAAAAGTTTTATCAAGATCAGAGGTAGATGATGGCACAGAACTATTTACACATTGTCTTTTATCACCAAAAACATAAAAAAACATGCTTTTAAAATCAAACTGATCCCATAATGCGGTTTCTGTGTTTCCCTGTAGTTTTGTTTTATTCCATATCCTTGCTGTTGGTGTTGTTATTGTCTGCTTTTTTCCTCCCGTTAATTGTGTCTCATGGTGGGTGTTTGTGTTTGTCTTTTGTAGCTGACTTTCTGTAGCAGCTGTTCATCATGTTTTATCATTTGTTCTATATTTCTCTCATATACTTGTGTTCTTTTTCCTTTTCTTTTACTCTGATATTAGATGCTTCCTGTCTTCCTGTGTACATAGTGTCTTAACAGCAACAAGGGTTAATCTTCTATGGAGGTTTTATAGATTCCAAACCTGTCTTTGGTAAAGCAAATACGTTCAGTACACCTCCAGCAGCCACCATTCTGCTTGCTACGATGTTGGAGAAAAATGCACTGCATTTTATTTCCACTGGATGTCAGCATAAGGCACCCAGATGAGCAAACACATCTGTCCCCACATGTGACGGTTTTCCCCCATCTGCCCAAACTGCAGCGATAAAGAGCTCCCAAAATAGTCAAAAGTCTGACGAAAGGTTTCCGACTTGACAATCAATGAGTTATCTTTTGAAATAGGAAAATAACTTAGTTTCATATTGGATGTTAACAAAGCCAGGCAGGATCCAGGCACAGCAGGAGAGATTAGATCTAATTATGATTCTGCTATCAAAATAACATCACAAACAAATATCCAGCATGTATCCGAACCGGGAGCTGTACGAACGATCGAGCCTGGTTAAAGGCAGAAAGCAAAATTGTTGGACAAGGCACAGATCTGGCTCTAAACAGTAAAGGAAGGGATGCAATCCAGAAGACATGAATATCCAACTGAAATGCCGGATGTAAATTCTGTCCATGTTGGATGGCATTCACCTGTTTCCTGTGTATGATGCTGCATGCGATGTCATCAGCTCATTTTTTTGCTTAGAGACAAAAACACATTCAGTTTTAACCACAGGGCAGCAGTTAATCAACTGAATTTTATTCGTGGTTGTTCATTTTGTTTTTGCCAGGTAAATGTGATATATATTGGGTAATGTAATGTCCAGTGTACCATTGGGGTGTAGCAATCAATACCTTAAATCAGAAGTAAAAGAGGAATAAAAGAACAGAAAAATAACACATAATACATAAATAAAGCACATAACATAGAAAGAAGACTCTTAGATACAAAAAATCATGTTAACTGAAGTAGAAAACACCGTGCTTTAAACACATTAAAAAGAATCTGAATTTGGGTTAACGGTAAAGATTTTTCTTTCGCAGAATTCCTAAAAGGCTCAAGGTCTTTAAACATGCTGTCAGATGTTTTATGGGCTGTTTGAATCACTTTGAATTAACATTGAGTCTTCTACATCTAATATCTAAGATCAACTGTCATTTATTCAAGCATTGACTGCATGTTTTTTTATCTCTATTCTATCCAATCCTCTTAGATTGTTCTTTTTTTCTGCAGCTTTATGTTTAAGGTAAACAGTGTACCTGTGACAGACGGTAGGAGCAAATCAGTCAG